TGCATCTGCTCCGTGAAGGCAGCCTGCAAAAAAGGCCTCGCGTAGTCGACCGCGTAGGTACCTCAACAAAACCCTCGATCTGGAACATGCTCGCGTAGGCTACCTCACATACTTTTGATATGTCGCGTAGGCGCTCGCGTATACATGCTGCGGAGTGTATACTTCCAAGCACCCAAAAAAAACACCACTCACCTGGACCTGAACCACCCTCCAAGCCAGCAACAGTCTACTTGAAGTTAGATACTGCCGTAATCACAGAGAATGTCACCATGTTGGCCCCAACCCCTCCCCACCCACCCGCCCAAGCCAGCAAGTGTTTACACGAACTGACATACTGTTAATCTTGACATGCATGTAGCTTCACAAGTGTGGTTTCTAAAACGCACATAAATTCCTGAAGGAAAGTTCCTGAAACACTCAGGTTTCTGACACGTTGTCGGTGATACGCACTATGAGCAACCACTTTTATTGAGGCTGTACTAGAGTAGTCTACGGCATGCTGTATTTGCTTGTCTATCATCAGTATTCGCTTGTGAACGAGATAGGGCCCCCACATAAACGAGATATATACTTTTGCTTGATGACACGAAAGTCGTCTGAACGAGATAGTGTGATCTGCTACTAAAGTAGTCTGAACGAGATACTGTGACATGACCTCCTTCTTAAGTCGTCTAAACAGGATAAGGCCCCCACATACTGTATAGTGTAATTGAGTTTAGTACCGAATAAATGCCGCCGCACATATAGTCACATAGTTTCCAAAACGTAGTTTCTGAACCGCGGATGGGGTTCTGAAATGAGCATAGCTACTGCCGTGTGTTTTTGTCAGCATGGCATGTGCCTTTTGTACTCCTTGCATGCATGTTCTTTTATTCCACATTGATGCAAGGTGCTTTGATCGGAGGTGGGGTTTGGTTCGTTTGAACTGTGTGAGTCGTCGGTAAACCTGCAACGGAGATGTTCATCAGAAAGTTTGGTCCGTGGTCAACGTCCGTTGCATCAAGTCATCAAGTTCCATGCTCCTTTTTTCAGAATGTGCCATGGTCTGTAAGAAAACATCGCCTGTAGTGTTAAATTGTAAGATATTCACTAGGTTCCATTCGAGCCCTTTGCCACATCAGCCTAAAAACGAGTTCCCGGTTTTATTCCCAGCGGATCCCGGCGATCTGGGAAAGCAACCGGCTTTTGCGGCAATACTCTTGTGAGACACCACTCTTGTACTGTAGGGTGTTTCAAGACCAGATCAGTCTCTAATCCCTTTTTGCAGTCAAAAGCCAGACCGAGACCATGACTGGACACCGACCGACGCGTCTCGTCCCGCCTGGCGAGGCGCTGCTCTGGCTCGCCGAGCACGTCGCCGCCTGTGCGGAGGAGCTCACGGCGGAGCAGCTGGCGCAGTGCTTCGCTGCTGCTGCGGAGCTCCTCGATGTGTGCGAGCTGGATCGTGTTGGGCTCGCGCCAGGGATGACCAAAAAGGACGAAAACGAGTGTGAGAATCATCCCGCCCAGCATACTCCAACTGTGTTTCTCGTGTCTTCACTGTGTTTTTTTTCTGAGAATCGGATTTTGTCTTTTCGGCAACGATGAACATCGACCCTTGGCGAGCTAAGTAAGCGAGCTAGGCGTGTTTGTCCTTGTTCAAGTTCCATGTGTTCACTCCACAAGCATTTGTCTCTGAATCGTGGGAGATCCCCAAGCACCAGAATGTTCACCACACGTTTGTGTTATTTTTGGATATTTTTGGGAAAGAGGGACAGTGGAAATCTGTGGAATGTTCCCACAAATCAAAAGACGCTCAGAACGTGTTTGCGCAATGTTGTGTTGCAGACGCTCTCGGACAGATAGGTCCGTTCCGAGGTTCCTTTAATCCGTTCGTCCGTTCCAGCAATCCGTCCGAGGTTGCAACTCGAACACGAACCGACGCTGAGCGGAGAAAAAGAGTCTGATCGAAAAATGTTGGTCAAGAGCCTCATCGAACATGATTGTCCACTGTTGTATTACCCCAAGAATCCGGGCCCTCAAAAACATATTATATATATATATTACATATATGTACATAGGGATCATAGGGTTTGGTTTGGGTCCGTTTTCGCCCCTGCGTGAAACGGTGGAGAAGGCCCGACTCCTCCCCCTGCCAGCCCCGAGCTCGGGCCCGAGCTTGGAGTCTCTTCGGGTATATAGTTGTGGGAATTGGTTGCCTGAGGCCCGAGGCTCACAAAACTCCATCATCCATTCTTGCGAAGTGTTGTGCAGAAGTTGGGACAACAACATAGAACCAACATAGGAGATTGATTTGCGTTCGGGGTCATGTTGCTTTGGATCCCGGCCGGTTGGTGGAGACAGGACCCGACTTTGCAGTGCTTTGTCTTGGCCGGGATTTTCTTTCGGGGCCACCCTCCAAACCCTTGGCGATACTCCAGAGAATCAAAGCATCCCATTGACAATTATATGATATGTTAGTTGCTGGTGATGTAGATGAGAGATGATGAGAGGCTATTGTTGTTTTTGGTGTTTTTTGTTCAAGACATGTTTGTCCACAGAGATGTCAAGGCCAAAAGTTGAAACAAATTCTTGGAGATCTTGTAGGATCATTGTACATACTCATAATCTAGTGATCTACTTCTAAGCAATCTAGTATAATCTAGTTATATGCACTTTGCATTGTTGTTTATATAGTATATCAATGTTTAATGTATACATTGCAATGTAGTATCTCTATAGCATCAAGTGTTTTTTCCCTATTTAAGCGCTCCCGATCATTCCGGAAAAAAAACGTCCGAAAACACGTCGCACTTCGCACGCTCCCCTCGCCGAGGATGTTGATGGCCATGTCCATTCAACTCATGTGGAGAGTCGACCAGCTGAGCGCACGAAGTCTTGGAAGAGTGGCCGTCTCCTGTGCCAAGCTGGACTACAGTGACTTTGTTTGGTGATCAAATGTGATCGTTGGAAGAGCCGCATGTAGTTTGTTTTTTTTGCATGTCGTTCATTCCGTAAACAGTACTGTACTCTTGTAGTTGTTACTGGACTAGAAACGAGTTGATCAGTAAACATGGTTTTCAATAAGGAGTCCCAACATGTCCCATCAACGAATGGCATGCACTGGGTGTCTGAGGAAGACGCAAGTGTTTTTGTTTGGCATTTTGAATCAGGGAATTCTTTGTAGAATCACACCCCTAACCTGCTTCAATGATCAACCGTACACAGACTGTTTTCAGTACAACGGGCTGGACATGGTACTGAGGGAAGCAACCCTTCTTGGATTGGCTGGCCAGTCGGATGTCGTTGCGGGAGGAGCACGAAACAGACTCGTCGCGTTTTCCGCTTTTTCTGCGCTCAAATGACTAGACCAACTCAAAAAGGACTCGCTCAGATGGCTTAGCAGCTCCAAATGTCAGATCCAAAGATCCAAATTCAGATCCAAGGACCGGTTTTGGGTTCTTAGTCGTTTTGGTATTCCCGGAAATGATGCCGGCTTTGGTGTTTTGATCTCACAATCACATACAATCACCAACCAACCTTCCAGATTTGGTGCCGGCCTTTTTTTTCAGAATCCACTCCCAGTTCAATGGAGATCCCAGCAAGGTTCGAGTGCAAAACCGCTCTTGGAACAGATCTTTTGGAGGCCCACGTTGGTTCATGCACGTTCGATCGATGAAGACTCCGTCGACGAGCTACACCAGGCTTCCGTTCGGGGTCACCTGACTTGACCCTACTGGCCCTACTGGGTCTCTCCAATCAAACACCCATTCGCGCAACACTTGGAAGCACTTCTTTTAACATGTGACTCGACCACAGGACCGCACCCTTGGAGACGTCTCTGCGATGGTGTGGGCCTGGTCCAAGCTCTCGGTGCAGAGCGTGGCACTCTGCCGGACCGCCGCACTGGATGCGTCGAAGGAGGAACTCACAGAGGACAGTCCAAAACGAGGAAAAAACGACACCTTTGAGGACTGTAGAGTCTAGAAGAGATTTTGAGGACTGTCGTTTTCGCGTCAGGAAACCTTCACGATGTTGGACGATGTTTGGACGGGCTCCGTGGGACGATGTTTCCACGTTTCCGTGGACATCGATCGTTCGACCGGGCTCTGGATGTCGGACAGTGTGGGTGTTATTCTCATCCACACTGTGGGAGAACATGATCAGCCAGTAGTCGGTGATGTATGGATATATATTACACAACCAGGGTCACCACAAACCATCAAAAACTTGATTTCCCCTAGCAACACAAATACTGCTTTTGGTATGTGAAAACCTCTATTTTTCATGGTTTTGAGGGCCCCTGGGTACTTGTGCTTGGTAAGCAGCGGAGGGTGGAAGGTGGACCTCAGTCCAAAGTGGTGAATCCGTGTCGTGAATCCTGTGCAGGAAGAGCATGCCCGGCTCTTGTTGGCCTTTGGCACGCCACACCTAGAGTTTCCATCTCAGGGATTGCCACGGCCGCTTTTTCATCCCTCCTTGAGTGGGGCTGAGAGCGTTTGCAAGCCTCTTTGAAGCGTTTGTCAACCTGAAAAAGAATCCGTGGCGCATGGAAAAGTGCTTGTGCAAGTTGATCTCAGACGTGACTCCAATCCTGTTTGAATACATAATTTATACTAATAAATTAATTTTAACATTATATATATATAATATATATTATATATTTATGACAAGTAGTGAAAAGTGTAGTGAAACGTCCTTGACCTGAGGATGGCCTTGACTGCATGGCTTGCATCTACATGACATGGTTTCTACCTCGAAGCCACCAAGTTGTTCTTGTCTCGCTTACCTAGACAGGATGAGGCAAGTTCAGGCCAATTGCTTTATTGGGGTAGTTAGTTTCCACACATCAAAAGTAAACTCCCCCATGTAAATGTCGTTCATTATTTGGATCCATGCAGATATTAATTCAATTGTATCGGCCATCATCCTCAAATCGTTTTGGTTTTGCAATGGCGTGCAATGTTTGCGATCAATTCAGTGACAGCAACATAACAACTGCATATGCCGACAGCTTGCAGGCCACCTGGCTTGTGATCCAAGAGGCCGGAGAGTTGAAACCGAATCCGAATTTCCTATCTAGTAGCTAGAAGCTTCCTTGGGAATCGTTTCACTGGGAATCGTTTCACCCGTAGTAACAATAAACTTTCTAGTATGTCTTTGAAACTTCTTAGTATATAATAAAGCTTTCGAGTAACTGTGCAGTGTGCAGTGGTGTTCTCTACGAGTAGTGACTACTAGTGACTCTCTTGTATGTGAGAAACATGACATTTCATAGTCCCCTCTCTTCCCAGATTGCCCCAACATCAGGTTGGCTATCATTGCATTTGGATGGACCATTTTTGAAGATAGGAGATACATGGAGATACGAAAGGGTGGCCTCAAGGATGAGTTGAACAAGAAAAACTGGCGGCAGTCCAGATGCCTTGCATGACATCATTAAACCTGGTTTTGCGAGGCCTCTCTTTCAACCTCTTTTCCTTCTCCGGGCAGATTTTTAACAGCGCACTTTTTCGGCGAATTCCCTGACCGCAGTGGAAGGGAAGTGAAGCCGGAGTTGGCTTTGCGAGCGGCAAGATGTTCGGATTCACACCAGGGTTTGGGTGGCAGGGCAACGGGCATACAGAGGAGTTGCTTTATAGAACTAGACATCACGTGTTTGACGTTTTGAGTGCTGCTTAACTCTGCTTTTTTCTACTCGAGCCGGGGCCGGACCTTCATAAGACACAGACTTAATCACTAGATGATGCCCGTTGCCACCTACCTTGCCTGTGGTTATACCACACTTGTCTAGGTGTGCAGACCTATTGGCCAAATTGGTCTATCCTCACAAATCTTTGGATGCGACATGATGCGACGCCTTTCGCACCGATTCAACTGGCCGGGGTCACGTACACGTGTGGTGTTTGATGGAGCACCGATGCGCGCCGTGTACCATAGAGCGAATCCAGGCCGTGTAGACATCGCCGCAGCGACCGGAAACACCCGGTCCTCCCAGCGGAAGCTGGAAGCATCTGGAAGCACGAGATGGTGAGTCTAACTCCAGGTCATTCAGCAGGGATGAAAGAAACCGGACGCACCACCCCGGTGCGGATAGCCTTTATGTCTCCCCGCAGGCTTGGTATATACTTTGTTTGTGACTGCTTGGTCGTGCCCCAGCTTGGGCGTCCACCTTGCAAGTTGACACCCAAGCTGTTACATGCACCTCTTAGACAATTGTGGGGTTGGTGGTGGCTTTGGTGGGTCAAGGGCCTCATATGGTCTCATCGGTCTCATTCTGAAGAGAACTTGAAGGTCCTTCACCCCTTCCCTTAAGCTCATGGGTGATTCAATGTGATTCAATTCTCATTGAGAAAGAACACCAGTCTTCGGTTGTGAGATGGGTGCTTGGGGGCTTTGCAAAGACACGATTTCGAGATACAGCCAATACCTTGAGGCCTTGAGGAAATAGTACAAGTACGAAAACGTAGTACATGAATCTGTCGATTCCACAAAAGCACCTGCTTATGAAAACATGTGTTCTTCAAGGTACACGGCATCTCGTGTACCCTGCGTTCTATCCGTTCTACTCTTTGTGACTGTTCCTTCACGACAAGCCTACGGCCGGATTGCATTGGCATCGACTGCCGGCTTTAGCTTCGCTCGCTATGCCGTAGTTGTTGATGGCCCTTCTTCAATGGCAAATCTGAGCTTGGATGAGCTTGGCGTTTGGGCCGTTGTATGTGTGAAAACCAGGAACAATTTTGTTTAGTTGTCCAAAACAACATTACAGTTACTTTGCAAGACGAGTGCCCATTTGATTTGTGTTTTTTACATCATTTGTCTGAGAGTTTTCCAAGCAGAGCTTTTGGTTTGCCAGGGGGAAGGTCCATCCTATCGACAGAAGCTCTCTACCCAGAGGCTCATGGACCCTCAAACTGCTACATGTGTGAGGTCCAAAGTCCCTAGTTGTATAGCTATGAGGGTCCAATGAGCCTTTCGGTATAGCCATGATATCCGTAATTGGGTCTTAAGAGAGCTGACCGAAGACCGCAGCAAATGACAACGAGAATATGAGTTAAAAAGAACGGTCTGACCGTGAATCCCGGTCGATGGCGGTCGGGGAGTGGGATGGGGTGGGCGGTGTCGAGCGGTCTGTTCCAGTGCCTCGAACAAGGTCAGTTCCAATTCTGCTGTTTGAACAAGGTTTGAAACCTATTTTGAGAACTGGAACTGACCTTGAAACAGCATTGAAGGTTTGAAGGTATTCCAAAGGTTCACTCACTGGAAGGTTTCAAACTCTATTTTTTCTACCCTCAAGGTTTAGGGTTTAGGGAAATATTCCGACGTTGCAGGCTTGTCTTCAACGACAGAATTGTAAGTTCAATTGATGTTCATTACCAGAAGTGCTTCGCTCGAAGCGACGAACGTCGCAGGGGCAGAAGCAACGAGTAACACGTGCATCGCTACGAACGTAGCTAGAAGCTATACGACGTCGGATCCGGAATCCAGCGGCAGAATCGGAATCGGGCCACCTCTTTATTAAAGCCGGTGGCATGAAATGCGGCTCATAGTGGCTCTGTTTGTGCTAGAAACAAGCGGGTTTTTCACCAGATCCAGTTGGATCCTCTTTCACCAGATCCAGTTGGATCCAGTTGGATCCAGTTTTTCACCAGATCCAGTCTCAGTTGGATCCTTTTTCAGTCCTTTTGGGGACCTTGTAATAGGTGGAGTGGGGACGGTCTTCCGCCCGGTTCCGAACGCCAAAGGACTGGAACGACGTGAGATCATCCTGGGGGATCAGATTGGATCGCAGACGAGGGAACATGGTCGATTTGGATGCAGGGAAGCATGGTTCGCATCAACCGGGGCCATGAGTGTGATGCCTTGCCCGAACGAGCCATTGGAGCTTGAGAAGAAACGTCCATTTATATGATGAGTCAGGGAATTCTTCTGGATTTGCTTTGGGCAAGAACAGCAGCCATGATTTATATGTTGCTAAAGGGATGTATACGTGGCGCCTTATGGATAAGTGATGTCCGATCGCATTCTCCGGACCCGATGCCGCCAGCCCATGCCGCGCCAGCCGGACATAGACCGAACGCAGCCAGACCTGGGGTGCGATGGGGCAACTCAGCAGCCAGAGAAGGGGGCAACTCATTCAGCCGATGGAGCACATTTGAGTGTCCAGTTTTTGATCTTGGGATCCTATCTCCGATGACGCTGCTCACGGGTTTCATTCGACATGCCAAACTTCGTTGTAATTCTCCGCCAGACAAGAAGGTCACATCGTTGAATGTATTTCTTTCGCCATTGATGCGACCTATTTTTTTTGCCATCCATCCAATGGCAAAAGCTGTCAAACCATGTTTGTGAAGTCCCGATGTTGGAAGAACATGGTTCCCATATGATGTCCTTCCACTCCACGTCCGCCACCCACGCGGTTTCACCGTGCCCGGCCAGGTGCTGCCGGGGTCGAGCCACGTTTTTCTTCGTCTTTCCTCGCCAGCTCTCTCCGTCTCGAGGTGCGCCCTGTCTGGTCTTGCTGCGCTTAGCGGGGTCACCAGCGCAAGAGGAGCGCACCCACCCGGCCGTGGTTTCGCAGCCGGTCTCTCTGCGGCAGACGAAGCGGTGCTCCGACGCATGCAGCACGGAACATGGTGGTTCCCCCAAATGTTGCGCCATTCAGAGCCTCCTGCTTTATATACCATAAGAGGGATCATGGGTCGGCTGGCAGGAGTTCCAGGCCCAGTCCCGCCTCCAAACACAAAGGGTTGAAAAGGCACACAGGTCTAGTCGGTCCAGATGCCGTGGTCTGGCAGGCTTTCAGATACTATATTCGATATTCTTTGAGTGTGAAGCAATTGTTGCGGTTTGATCATTTTTTTGGTGGAATCACTCTCATCATCATCTGAGAGCATTTCATTTTCTTGTGATGCAAAAATCGACAGCCAGGAAGTTTACTCTTTCCTGACTACGCTGCTTGGCTGCTACTGCGAGTCAAGACCGTTTGGGCTACGCTCTGACAAACTAACATGGAAGTGGAACCCCCCCTGATCGTAAAGGAAAGTAGTGTTCCAAGGGACCATTTTCCACTTCCATGTTAGTGAGTGAGAGTGTATAATTTGCTGTGAATCACAGGGGTACATGGTTTGACCATGTTTTGATATGCATCCACTTTTGCAGACTTACTTGGCACTTGGCAGACTTGCTTGATCCATCACCAAGTCTATTCAGCATTTGCACGGACCACCTCTACTACCCAGGATTCATGGAAACATTTGTAGTTTCATTCCACTTCAGAGTGTACCCATAATCTCGGGAATCCGATTTCGTTGCAATGGCTCTCCAAAGACGGCAAAGCCACTCACCATGCATATCGATGGTTCCCTTGACCGCAACCGCGTGTGGTTCCCTTGACGGCACGCATCGACCAGGATTTCGTGGACTGAACTACGCCTCCAGAGATGTGGATGGGTCATGGTCAAACAATGTCAAACAGACTTGAATAGATTTGATTTGACTTTGAAACAACTCCCCCCAACCCCGTGTGCCCACTGCCTTTTCTGGTTTTGCTGGCCTGTGCTTCCCTCAGATTGGGAACCAGTACACATTCAGAGTCGCCGGCAAGTCCATCCCGCAGGAGGTCTCATCTACTTTGAACCCAGGCATTTCCAGTTCATACACGGCGATACATCGTGGGCTCTCCAAGCACTACATACATCGATGCGACTCCCGCGTTCTGAACGCTTTAACATGATTTCGCGAGCGATCGTCGTGAGGTGGCTTAATTCATTTGTGGCTCGTGCAAGGTACTCCATTGTTCACACTGGTTTTTCTCATATCTCATTTGTGTTTGTGTCACCTTTGACCCGTTGATGGTACTCCATTGTCACCGCCTTCAACACCTGGTCTGGCATGGATCGGTTAGACGTGCGGAGGTCGGTCCGTGTCCCAGGTGACTCAGCTGGCGGCTCAGGAGCACTGTTTGCCAGACATTCAGGAGAGCGGAGCGTGTGAATGAAGCCATTGGTTGGAACAGGAACTCGGTGGAAGGAAGAAACCATTTGGGGTCAAAGATCCATCGTTGGGTCAAAGTCCATTCATTGAGATTTGCCACAGACTCTGTTGAAATGGTAGATCACACCCATCGTCCCCCGCTGAATTCAACAAAAAGTGATTTGTGCAATCCACTGAGGCGAACTACCGACCTACCAACCACCGGGGTTTGACCACCTTTGAACCCATGTGTTCGCTCATGGAACCTCCACCAACTGCTACATGGTTTGTTCGATCCCAAACTTTAATGGTGAGGGGGTTTGGACCCAGCGCACCAGCGAACACGCTTGGGTCCTTCGAGGTCTCCCGTGAGGGTCGATCCCCTTTGTGACGGAGACCTCGTGGACTCGTGGACCGAAACCTCGGAGACCTCGATCACGGAGAAGTGATCGACAGCCTCCGTCCCACGCCAGGAACCGCAGCCGATCCGAGCAGGTTCCGACTTGGAGGCTTTACTGCCCCAGCTGGCTGATGCTTCCGGCCTGATCGTGTCCTAGCTCTGATAGTTTCCGGATCCACTGGCACCCTCTCAGGTACGGTGAGCAGGGAGACGACCTAGGAAGACTCTTTGATGTAGGTGCCAGGGTCGGGTCCAGTCGTACAGAACCTGAGATGGTATGTGGATCCCTAGGGTTTTGATATGTTTTGATATGTTTGTTGAGGTGCTGGGGAGGGATTGAACGAGTTCTCAAGCTTTTGCGTTGCAGAATATCAACATGTTCCTGTTGTGGGCACAAATTATGAGATGCTATTTTATTCACTAAAAGTGTGCATCACAAAAATCTAGATAAATACATTGTGTTTCAATGTGTTTCATCAGTTCATCATACAACTTCTGTTTTTGATGCAGAAACTATCCCACAGCAATCCAATTACATCCAATTACTATAGCCATCCGAATGTTTTTCAAACAGTGCACTGCTATGGTCCAAGAACATCCACGAACATCCTCGCTTGTTTGTCACACGGGGAGCCTGAATAGGTGTCCTTTCGCCCGTTCAAAGCAGCACTACTGACTAAAGGTGTCCTGGCTGAGTCTTTGCCACCGACCTTGCCCAGCAAACGGGCTGGCTCAGATTTAAAGAATATTACAGAAGGCAGATGACGCCCACTATGAACATAGTTCTTTTTTTTAAATCAACTGCTCCTGTACATTGTCTCATGTGTAATAGTGTGCACGTATATGTATATCTAAGTTATATTTGCTTACAATAGAAATGAGTAAATGTATAACTATTGCCATAGACACATAAAAAACGCATGTTTTGCTGTTTGAAAAATATGGTTAACATGTCACCGGTCTTCACCGGATTCGTCTCGGGTGTTCCGGTCCCGAGGTCTTCAGTGTCTTCGTGGACACCAAGGATCACAAGGAGAGCAAGCGCTTTGAGCTTCTCCTCCAACAGTGGATGTGTCGGGTCAGGCGAGAGTTCTTTTTCCTGAAGTTGTGTCCGACATGGTGTGTCTTTTTTTTTTGTTTTCGAATTCCAAGTGCCACCCCAGTCTCAGATATTCGAAGATTGAGTCTGATCACAGTCCATCCTGCATCCGGCTGGTCAGCAACTCCTGCATCCGGGATTTCTCGTGTGCAATTGGAGAGGTGGCATGCAGATCGAGAAACTGCCCACCCCCCCAGTCGACTTGCATGACCTTCGAACTGCCGAGTTGAACAGCAGCTGAACAGCAGCTGAACATGGTCTTCCAATTTCATGGTCTGAGTTTTCTGACTGGTGCGACGAACGTAGGGAATAAGGGAATGAGCTCGCAGAGATTCCTTTGGATCCAGCCACCCTCATTCCCTACGAGTCGCACCAGTCAGTTTTTGGGGTGTGCTTTGTTGGGCAGGTCGCACCTGGGTTCATCTTTCCTGGCCTTCGTTGATTCTGAGAAGCTGCGGCAGCAGTTTGAACGTCGCTCGCCAGCGGTTGTCTGCGTGTCCTGTGTTCCGCAAGTGGACATTTGGTTGATGGATCCATGAACTGGGAAGTGACATTGTGCCTAGTCCCACCTAAGTACACCAATGTTGTGTTTTACGTTGACCATTCCTGTGAGTTGAATCTCTTGTGACCGATCAGCCAGGACCAAACCAAACCCCAGCCCCCACGCCAGTGCTGGTCACGCCGCCCGGTCGGCACCGTGACTCGTCACTCGTGAAGACCTCGACCGGCACGGCACCGGCACGCTGTTTGGAGAAGCGACGAGACCGACCGAGCGACCGTGTTGGGTGTTTTGGGTCACGGATCAAATCCCTCGGCCTGGTCAGACGTGACCGTTTGTAGCGTGTTTGCTACAAACGAGTATATATTTAATTAACATCATATATATATATATAATATCATATTGATTGATGTCTTTTTTATGGTCCATGATGGTGCATGGATTTTTAATGTTTTGTTTTCTTTAATCAAGGAGCACCCCTTGGGGTGGTAGCCTTACATTGGGATTTTGGCCAAGTCTGGTTTCTAGGGTCTTCGATGGTATATTCTACTGTACATTAGTCTATGTTTTTTTCCAGGGGGAGGAGCTCAAAATTAACCTTTGGGTCTTCCAAAAGTGGGTCATCGTGGGTCAAAAGCAGCGGCCGTACTTCTCCAAGGCAATTTTGGTGTTGCTGCGTACTTCTCCAAAGAATGGATCAAGGCCAGCGAAGCGGTTTCAACGGCGACGAGACTGGGTGAGCAGTTGAGGGTGAGACGGCGGCGGAGAAGCGCTTCACCAACGGAGCATGGGCTGAGAGGGTTGCGGAGCAATGATTGGAACTCCATGAGCATTGTGGTTGATGTAATCTTCTGCAGCAAGTATCCTCCCACTAATTTCCCATGGAAGTTGAAAACCAGTGTTCGTTTCAGCAACTGTGTGTTGTTGATGGTTTGTTGGTGGACAATAGGGGCCTATGTCTGTTCCACTTCCATCTGGATGTGTTCGTCAGAGTGTATGAAAAAAAGAACCTTTTCGGGCTGATGGCCGCCATGCCTTGAGACCAGGGCCGGACAGTTTTGTGTCGCTGTCTACACAGGTTTGAAAGGTGCAAAGATGGTTTCTACATGTTTCTTCTCCAACCGATGTTGTGTTGGGCGGACTCCTCCCAGACTCCGGCGGGTTTTGATGTCCACACCACGGGAAGGACCTGGCGGAAACCGTCAACACCGGTGACACAGACACACACACAAACAGATACATAATATATGAGGATTGGCCAGCACATGGTTTGGGTACACCGTACTGGTTGGAGACTGGTTTCCAGAGGAATGGGGCGATCTCCCCCGGGTCTTCCCATCCCCTTCGACCCCCAACGGGGCCAAAAAAGGCGACTCCGGTGATGTCGACACCGGTGACCCAACGAACGACAGCGACAGCGGCGCCGTTTCGGTGCCTGCCGATGCAGGAGGCCTTCCAAGGCAGCGGAGAGGGTGAGAAGCACGACTCCAACTATTGGCGTCCCGATTCCCGGAGAGTCCAGAGAACCCGAGCAGGTGGAGAGGCATGAAGTGAAAGGTTAACAGTACCGTTTCTTGGAACTGAAGGTGGCTTCTTGGGTTGAGCATGAGAGGAAGGAAAGTTTGAACGTCAGAGCTTTGCTGCATCATATAGTGTGTTTCATTTGTTATTATATATTTGTCATTTGGTCCACATTCAATTCTTTCAAGATCCGGATGTCAATAACGCCAAAACATGTTTATCCGACAGTATCTACATGCGGAATCTAGAATAGGTTTGACGTGGACTGTTTCCAAAAACAAACACAATACGACACTGGTTGGAATCGTTCACAGTCAAGGACCTCTCCCGTCCCAACATGTCCCAACAATATACTGTAGTCTACAGTATACTAAGGTATATTATATATTAGTTTGCATACTAGCAGGTAACCCAGAGGATCCATGGTGGCGTAGACCTACATGAAAACCACCAAAAAACCACCAGGCCAAGGCGGATTTGGCGATATTTGCGCCACCATGGATCTATTGGGTATACTATATATTGGATGTTCAGCGGCTTTTCAAAGGCTGACGGACTGCGACGGGATGGTTCCCCAAGGGGGACCGAAAACTGAGGCTGGGCTGCGCCCCTTGCCAGAAGCCGGGCGTATGGGGGTTTCCCCCACGTGTGACCTGAGCACCTTGTAGGTCCCAGGGCAACCGGGCAACCCATTTAAAATCTACACGATATACTTCCGAAGATCAGTGTCCTTTGGACACACATCGCGACCCAATGAAGTCAAGACATCGCGACCGCTCGTGGATGCTTTGGAGGGACATTCCATTCATTGGCAGAATCTTTCCAAGCGAGCCGAGCCAATTTGTAGCTAGTTGGCTAAGTATGTGTGTGTTTTTGCCTCCAGTTATATTGTGCTATATATTGTGTTTGGCGAGCAATTCATGTTGCCAGATTTCCTTCTGACAGTTGTAGTAGTCCGTCATCCTGTGGTCCGGATCAGCCTCGCATCGGACACTGGACGCTGAGCATCGGACATCAGCCACTGCTTCAGTGATCGATGTCCTCATGAAAGCACGGATCACTAAAGCACGACTGTCCATCCGACGACTGTTCAATCGACTTTCCCAAGGATGGAATCCATCCTCCGTCTCGGATACAGTGCCCTCTACGTTGACACAGCATCTTGATGTCAGCGATTCATATTGTTGTTTAGGTCAAAACAAGTTGTTTTGTTCTAAGGCATTTCATGGTGTTTGTATGTCTTTTGTCATGCCTTTCCTGGACTGGAGGTTGTCAGTGGACATTTCTTTGTTCATGGTCCTTCAAGCCACCAGAAATCCCCCGGGAACATGGTACAATGAGAAACTTTATTTTATGTTCCCGGTGTGTGTTTGGATTCTTTAGGTGTAATTCATTCAGTTTCTTGAATGACTGCCCCAAGGGTAAAGTAGTAGTTGTTGTCCCATGCCGTGGGAATTGAGTGAGTTTCTTCTCGATGTCTCATTGCACTGATCTTTGCTTGGTATGCTGGACATATGCAGTCTTTGACTTCGACCAGTCACGGGTAAAAGATACCTGCCGTACCTGCTGACCAACATGTACTTTGGTTTGCTTTGTGTCTTCATGATATACAACAATGGTCATTGTTATCCTCAAGATCCTCAAGTACATCCAATATGGGACACAACCCCAGCAGCGAGTCAGACTGAACCATCGATAGCAGCGGAGCCCGTACCGGATCCAAGAGGCCGCTGTGGGTCAGACCGACATGATCTACCAGCCAGGTCAACCTACCAGGGATTAGGCGCTCCAGGTTTTGAAAAGGGGGTGGCCTTGTTAATTATTCCAGGGGGCTGTAAGAGGCCGCCACCCCCTATGGTTTTGACCCATCCTCATATTTTGGCCGCTCTGAGGATATCATGTGGCTTGAAGATCCACGACCTGGGTTGGCCACACTTCCAAGTGCAGACTTCTATGGCTTCGCCCTCGGGGTCGCTGCCGGGGCCGCGGAAAGCGAGTGGCTTCGGGGACATCTCCTCCTGAGTGTTCCATCCAATCCATGGCCCTGTTGACCCCATAGCCCAACTCCTTGATATAGCCCACCTGGAACTGGAATGAACTAGAACATCATCTTCCTTCACCCGTCCGAGAGGGAGAGAGGCTCTTGTGCTTGGGATTGTCAGTATCATTTGTTGGAACAAATACACTTGGTCCGACCGATGGATCTTTAGCTGAGGTTCGTGTGATAGCTACGATGCAGGGACGGGCGCCATCAGGCACAGCTGAGTGCGCAGACGAGTTCTGATTGCTTTAAGTGATGGTATTGCCTTTCTTTTGCACTTGCACATTTTGCATATCATATACTGCATTATACTGTATAATTCAATATAGTATTTGTGTATTTTTATATAGGTAATATGTATGTGTGCAAACACCCTATGAGCACATCCCACCCCTCATTCTCGTTCTTCCTTTTCACGGACACTCTCTCAACGATGTCGGTCTCCACATCAGGTGGTGCTTCTCTTTGTCTCGTCAGTACTCGTCAGTACTGGAATGTGTCCAGGAAACTACTTCAGAATTTTTGGGCGACTCTCAACAAAAAGTAACAACATGCGGAAATGCCGTGCAATACAAGTTTAGGTAAACGGGCTTCAACTTGCATACTGCGCACTGCATACCGCCCTCACTCTGTACCCGGCTGTGCTTTTTTTCCATCATCCACTACCTCACTTCCTGGAAGTTGGCACTTGCTTCGGATGTTTGTCAAGAACTGTTGTCAAGTTTTTGACCTTCCCGGTTGAGGGAAACCCATGTCTCCAAGGCCCGAATGCCCAGAACGACTGATATGGACTCCTGGAAGACCTGGAAGACCATTTGCCAGTAGAAGACCGGTCGTTTGCAGGACTGTTTGCAGGATCAGCCTGTCTGGGTGTCCTTCCTAGACTACCCTCCCCGTCTCCAAAAACAGGTCTCCAGACTGGGCACCCTACTTGGATATGCTAGGTAGGTATGTGACAATTCATGGCTATAAAGCCTGACTGCCGACCTGCGCCTCCTCAAAGATTGAAACTGTCAGCAGCCGAGCAACGCCAAGCAACCGAAACAGCCAAATAGCTGGGTCTTCGTTGCCTTGAGCGTAGGAGGCCACGTTGTATCATGTTCAAGACAACAAAACACAAAATGATATGCTGTTTTTTGCTTATGACAAGCAGTGCTTTAGTTTCCTCCTGGATGTTGGTGTTTGATTGACTTCTTCATTCTTGTCCTTTGCCGTAGTTGCCAAAGGGATCATGCCTCTAGACTAGATCCGATCTATGACAGACCTGAGTTCGTTCACATGTGGCCACAGCCATGTGACTCACGTGGTCAATCACATCGGCCGAGACATTCCAGCCCGGAGACGTCCTTGGTAATGCTTTTGATAGACTTGTGAACGATTTGCGTTGGATGGATATGGATGGATAGAATATGATAGAATAATTTTAAAGCTATTGACTTGTGATTGATTTAGAGAAGTGACGTCACTTCGGATCTAATTCAGAAGTACTCAGCGACTCAGCTTCCAGCTAGGAATGGCACCAGTTGGCAAATTGACGGGACGTAATGTATTTTTCCCGCTACATCAAGGAATCTCTCATGATTTATATACATAGTAATTAGAGCTTTCTGCGGCTCTGGTAGGCTGACTTAGCTGGACTTCTTCTAAAAAGAAGAAAAGGCACCAACTTCTTATACATTTTATACTCCCTATGTCTGTCCAATTTAGTGCCTTGGCCTCCGCATTTGGACATGTGAGAATCCAGTGTCATAATGTTATATTGCTATACCTCAAGGTGGCTTTTCACACTCACTGGGCATAAAAGAAGTCATGATAATTGCAGTTCTTTGGGACATCCTCTTTGTCCGTCAGGATCATTTAGGATGCTCACCATGAGCTTGCAGTCTTGGGCCCACACGAACTTAGTATGGACACACATGTGGGGGGCAATGAGGCAATATTCTAGTAGGGGGCTTATCAGATCACTGTGTCCAGTGACAGAACTTGTGCAACACACTAAGCGCAGCGTAGCCCAGCCTGGCATCAACGTGCCCAAAATCCGGCGTGTTCCTAAATATGCATGCAATGCAAACAGTTTTGTTGTGATTGTTACATTCGGCTGTCACGTCATGGTGTTCCGACTTTTTGCATCGAGACAGAACTTATGCACTTCTTTTGCTTCGATGAATGATGACGACGAGCCACCGTGGCTGTAGTAGATCACTCCAACACAGATTTTAAAGCGCACTGAGATTGGAATGTGTTGAGAGTGTTTGTTTGCTAATGTTTGTTCGTGTTCATGGCATGGGTCGCAGGCTTGTACAAGTATGTGGTTTTGGCAGCTGGCGTCCACAACATTACTTGTTTGGTTCAGATGAGAGCAAGACGTCATCAGCATGTTTACTGCTTGCTTTGCGGATTTGACCCCCTGGTGGAACAAGTCCGACTGTCTTGTTGCAGGTGGCATCAAAATGGGTCCCTTGACATGGAACGCATGCGAAAGGCTGGATGCTTCCAGTTTTTATCGGACGATGCGGTAGATATGTCAGAGACAACGCAGATTGGTCGTAGCACGCAAAGTCCCAAGTTCCGTTTAAAGAGGTTTTAAAAAAATACACATCATATTAAAAGATCTTCCAGTTTCGTTTAAAGTTCAGTGTACAAGACGAGTGGGACGTTCTGAGTTTGTCATTTTTTAGACCCAATGTACGCTGCCGGTTCTTGCGTGAACCGGCGGGCCAACCTTGTTCAAATGCAGCGCCGAGTTTGGGTTTAGAGTTTCAAATGCACCCCTGGAAAACTAGTTGTTCACGTGTTTGGTTTAGTTGTTTGGTAGTATATAGTTATTAGCAGTTGCTTGGCTTTGCTGTTTTGTCTCTCAAGTTTGAGTGTTTGGTTATATAATATATGTTTATCACTTTAAGTAAGTAGCTTGTTGGTGTTTGTTTGTTGACGTTTGTTGTTTTTTGTTGACAATTTGACAACCGTAGACGTCCTCCTTCCCTGAGATTTCCCAGGTTGCCCACTTCATGCAGCGGAGCATAGCAGAACCATCCAGACATCAAAAAGTTGAAGAAACACAAACAAACACGTGCGAAGCAGCTGTGTGCATCATCGTTTTCACAGTTAGAATTCTCCAAGAAACCCGTCACGTCTCACGTCAACCAAAAACTGCCCAATGCTTTCTGATGGTGGACATTCAATTCCCAGACACTCCATGCCTGCCAGACCATATATGCCACCCCATTGACCCCCCCAAATCACCTCTAGCCTGATCGGCAGTCCGTCCTGGCAGCCCCATGGGTCGTGTCTGGGAATTGATGATTTGGTTGCTTTGACTTTGTGATTGTGTTCGTCACGTTAGGGTTCCAACATCTTTTCCTTGGTTATGTTTTACTTGGTCGTCTTTTGCTGCATCTACAACACACCTACTGGTCACCTACTTGTATCTACAACACCTGGTGTAGCCTTGAAGATGCTTCCAGATGCTTCCTGTTTCTTAGCGGCTTTGGCGCGCCTAGTGGTTCACTTTTGGTATTGTGCACAGCTTTGGACGGCCCAAACAGAACAAACAACAGCTAATTTCAGACACCCAGTGGTTTACAAAGCGTGGTTTACAAACCTGGGAATTTGTTTCTTTACAAACCAGTGGTTTAGAGTTCCATTCTAATGAGGTTCCTTTGCCAAGAAAAGCTGCGCAGGAAGCCGCAAAGCATGACGATGAGTCAGTTTGCTGCCAGGGCATGCTGGTGCCAGTCAATGCTGGCATTGTGCTAATGAGGAGAGGGATGTCGTGCATGTTTAATGGTGTTTCCCTCGCACTGTGCACATTCTGTAATGACAGATATGGATGGCAGGTATGTGAATATACTGTATTACTTTTTACATTTGTACATGATATAACATATGCGTATATATATATATGCAACTAATGCTTTGAGGATAGTTCTGAGGAGAAATCAGTTTAATAACCTCGAGTATACTGTAAATGTAAGTTTTAGGAACATATATTGTCTAAAAGGAACATGTTTGTCGAGTCCATGGTTAGGAAGTAAGATACATATTGTGGCCGTTGGTTGTGATTCAGGGCAGGACATGATTGGCCGCAAGATAGGCGAGACATTGAACTAATGACTGCCGACTGCGCAAGCAATTGTACAAAAAGTTTGGTTCACCGCACATGGTTACAAGAGATCATAATCACTTTGCAAGTGGCTGCGTTCGAACTTCATATGTTCGATACCCCCAAAGTCGATGCATTCAGGAATGCAAGACAATCCAATTTTGTGGGTTGCACAGAGTATGCATGAACATACATATATGTGTACACATGTTGTCCCTTTGGGACCTACGTATTGAACGCGACGCTATACATGTATTTGCAAGAACAACGCTTTATCACTGCGATCATTCCTCACTGCAAAACATATTTGCAATCCAGTAGTCAGTGCACGTTGCATGCAATATCTGGCAATCCAGCAGTAAGTGCACGTGTTCTTCAAACAAAAACTACCTGCGCAGTCCCGGTTTGGTGGTCATCATGACCTGTCATGAAGAGCTGGGAACCCATGGATCTGGCATACCAAACACCGTGTCCTTTGTTTGTTTCTTAAATAGTTGTTGATTCTTGGAAAGGACTCTGCAAGACATCAAATCTCGTGTCCCAGGAAGACCTTTGAAACCAAGGAACACCAAACACACAAGGACAAAACAAACAAAAGTGCGAAACCAGCAGTTATATGCATTAAAGTGTTTGTTGCACTACATTCCAATGAGCAGGTCAAATGTTAAAATATGGGCACTATCTTGAGTGGCTTAAACATCCCGGCGCCATGAAAACCGCGCGTGTGGTTGAGTGAATTTGTATTGGAGTGAAACATAGTCGGAACCTCGAAATTGTGCTTTTTTTAATGATTTGTTCTGATCAGTACCTAGAAATCATCATTCAATTTCAGGCGGTTTTACAATGTATTTAACGGTTGTAAAATTTGAGTCCACGAACGAGCTGTTTCGTTGCTTTCTCAGGGAAATGTACAAAAAAAGGGGAAGGTGGCACTCCTTTTCACGACAGTTTTTGCAAAAGTCTTCGCAGTTCGTCAGTCGCACAGGTCTTCCGTGCAAAGACAAGTGGCAAGTCTCAAAGTTAAAGACTGTGCAACCATGTAGACCTTTGGACAGAATGACTTCCGGCGGCTATCAAATCCAAGCTGAAACGTTTTTGACGAGGGTTCCCAGTTCACCCGAAAGAAAGAATCACCACGGTGCTGCTTCTAGCAGATCAATTTGGAAACCTCGAGAGCACAGGTCTTCCAGGGGCCACCGGTCCCTGTTCACGTCCGTGTCGTCTCCACACCGAAAGACCAACCGTCAACTCCAACGAGTTTAAATACCCAGGGTGTACCTCAAACCACTGAGACAAGAGACACCGGTAACTCACCGATCGTTTCAACACCACCCAACCTCAACAGCAAAACAAGCGCTAGACTGGCAGCCGCTTGTGGGCTGAGTCGCATTTCTTGAAATGGCTGCGGATCGTACGAACGACCCGTAAAGATGAACCGACAACGCATACGGATGTACATGCCATGTGCGCAGTCATGCAGATGTACATGCCATGTTCGCTACATACACACGTATGTTATTAACCCCCCCACCCCCACAAACCTGTGCGTATGTGCCACAAAACAAGAATTATTGCTAATCCCGTTGTAAAACAAAAGAGAGATGAGAGAAAACTGAGAAGTATGTGGTAGGAGAACGTACGGTGTTGCCATGTATATAAATAGGCAAAACCATGCTGTCTTTTACAATAATGAACATGTAGACTCTGTAGACTCTGTAGAGGGTGATGATGTTAGTCCCAACATACATGCTATCATGCCCGCACGGGATCTTTCTTTGCGCGCGCCTACACTGGGACGGTGTTCATGCCGGTTGGCTTAAACATGTTTGGTCCCGCCCGCTGACCATCACCAGGCCCTCCAAAGCCGCTTGGGCTGCGGTGATGCGTTTCCGCGCACGGGTGATCAGCGGCCCATGTTGGGGCCAAGCAGCCATGTGCCTGGGAAGCGAGGAGGTGTTGGGAAGAAGGGTTTGATCCTAATCTGAAGCGCAGACGTGTATTTGGGAATTGTTCGGTAATTATACATGGAGAGTCTCAATGGAGAGAGAGAGAGAGAGAAAGAGAGAGAGGGAAACCCTTTCTTCACACCCCTTTTCACTCATTTGTATACAGTTGTCGTGTTCAGTGGTTGGTTTCACCGATCACTTTCCCTTCTTGGCGCCGTTAGCCATGGGTTGCAGCGGTTGGTTTCGCCGAAAGTGAGCAACTTCTGTTCGGGTAATGGGTTTTGCCCAGCCGAGGCAATGGTCCCTCTTTGAGCTGTGTGGTTCTTCGTTGCAGTGCGAGGCAAGAGTTTAGAGTGTTTCAGGGGGACCTACGTCTTCCTGGAGACGATGTTGTGGGATATGATTTTGTCCACAATGGATTCTTTGGATATATATAGTATTATATTATATATATATATATTATACTAATACTAATAAGTCATGTCATTTGGGGACGATTTGCTTTTGTGCCATGGCTCAGAGCTACCATCACTTTGGAAGGACCAGAGCCTCCAAACACTTTGAGATAATGACACAGTCACAGGGTACCCATGCCACTCATGTGCTGCACTTGATATCAAGATTGGTATCCAGAGTTGCGCGGGACGGGGTCTCCAGGGTCTATCTCAGAATGGGAGCACATATGCTGCCCATCAGCGTTCGGATGAGTCAGTGTGTTTTTTTTGTTGGATTGCACTTGAACGGCATGAAATCGGCAGAACGAAAACAAGTGAAAGTCGGACAACACATGAAATCGTCGTCGAAATCGGCATCATCGCCTCTGGCGGTCAACCACCGTTGTGGCGGTCAAGGACCGTTGGATGAAACGAAGACAGCGCAGCGGTCGGAACGCAAGACGACTGGAAGCCCGAGAAGGCCTCGCAAATAGGAACCAGAAGTTGAACAGTATGGAGCACTATGGAACACGTGACATTCTCACTGAATGAAGTGATCCTGTACCACCACTATAAGTTGTAGTACATAGTGGACTCTTCATCTTTGGAGACCCTGCACCTGCCTGCAGGCGCCCACCTGCCCCTTTTGAAGAAAAACGGGAACCGCCTTGTTCCACGGTGTCTGTTGTGTATGGCGACTCCAATGGCTTGTTCCACCGAGCCGTGAAAGAAACGGCTTTGAAAAGGTCACCAATCCTGAAAAGGTGGGAAGGTCCTTGGGTCCAATTTCTGTGTTACATCCCCCTTCCTCTGCTTTAAGAACTCTTGGTCCCGCAAATTCCGCTGAGGTACTTGACCCACTCCGCTTTGCATCTGCTGGCCCGCTCTTGATGGAGTTGAGGCGAACTCAACAGGACCCTTGACGGAGTCCAGCGATGGTCGGTCTTCGCGAGCAGGATTTCGCTCTCGAATTCTTTCCACGCAACTTGAGATCTACATGTCTCAGTTGTGTCATCGCTCTTCCAGCATTAATCGAAGAAAGCAGAACGCTGGCACGAATATCCTGCCAACAGGCCAACAGAAGCGCAACAGGAGGATGGTCACAAATCACAAGAATAGGGCAGACAAAGCAAGAAGATGAAGAGAAGAACCCTGTATATACACTTGTGTATATATTATATGAATACATGTGGGTGGGCTGGGCAAATTTATTTGAACAAATCACAACAAGACTCTTTGCAGTATAAATAGTTGCGGTGAGCATACGCATGGCTTGCCTAGCATTTTAATCACTCAGTCAAGCTGACTATGCTTCACTCTTCAAGTGTCGGTGAACATGAGTGACACACGTGTGAAGGGGCATTTACAAAGACCCATGTTTTGCGGTTCAGACTTTTGCAGAGAAAACCTTTGGAGAGCCAGAAGCATCGGGTACGACGCCAGTGGTAGAAGAGACAAACAAGCTATTTGTATCTATTTGTGCCATACAAATAGCCATCTACCTTTGAACCAAAGAAGGTCCACCATACAGTGATAGCTCTGTCGGTGACGGCATAGCTTGAGGCATCCTATCAACCTTCATTGAGGCTTGGCGAGAAATCAAGGTCAAGCCGTGTTCTTGAATGAAAGTAGCCTGTACTGGAGAAAATTGCACCAACAGCTCCTTAAAATGCCACGGAGCTGGCATTATTTTTCTGTGCTTTGTCGTGTGCATGTTACATTGTTACATGACCACAGGATGTTGAAAGACATTACCATCGCTTTCTTCGTCCATGATCTTCTTCCATGTCCTACACCTAGACCTGGGTCGCTTTTTTCCTCTCCAAGGATCCATTTGGACCTTGGCGCCACTTGGATGTGAAGTCGACAGACGAAAACGGAGCAGGTGTCGATTTCAAACACCGCGAAAAGGCGGATTCGACCAAACGCCATGCTGCGACGGTGTCTGAAACCGCCGGTTCCGTGTGGAACTCGCCCGCGCGATCACCCCGAAAAAGGTGTGTGCGCGAGACGAAAGGCGAAGAAGAAACCCGCGAAAGGCGAAGAGGAAGGCCAACAAGTTCTTCGAAGGTTTCTTCGACATTCCCAAGGCGATGGGCTTTGAGAACCTGACGTCGACGGTTTTTTCAATGGAGTGATGCACCTCAAGCGAACATGATGTGTGTGATGCCGCCGGTTTCTCACTGTTTAAGACATATTTTGTTTATGAATAACAGATAACACCATATAACACCAATAATTTGTGAAAATGACCAGCTCCTCACTGCTTCAAGGGTGTCTTCCAAGCCAAACTGAGCGATACTGAGCGGTTGGTCCTTCATTCTCACCTTTGTTCTTTACCGGGGAAGCACCTGTGAGCGACCCTCCGGCTGCTCCTCTTGAGTCGTCCTGCGACCAGGAATGCAGTGAGCCCCCAACGGAAACTCGGAGCGACTTGTAAGGAGCAAAAGGAGGACAAAAGACGAGAAGAGCGGACCAACTTGGAGGTTCTGGGGGAGAACAACACCATATCATTTTGTAAATTTTGGTCATAATTTATTAAGGTTTGGAGTCTTTACCTAGATGTCTTTGCTTGAAAATAGTTGCGACAACCTTCTAAAGCAGGTGCACCTTCGGCTCTTGAGAGGCTCTGGAAGGCAAAGGAACATCAAGCGCATCAAGGGACCATGCAATCCACCAGACATTTAGACACACACACTTAGATGGTTGCTCGCAAGAGCTAGGTTCAGAGCTAGGTTCAGAGTGCAGCCTTGGAAACAGGCTTTGACACACACACACACACATCCTTGGAGAGACCACGTCACCGTTGACGGGAACACATCGAACTGATCGCGACGAACCCGATGGATTCGCCGAACGATTCGCGTGACCTGTGGTCCAATAACCTCTTCCTTTCAGGGCTGTTCATGAGCGGATTGAAGCAGCACCGGAGAGTGTGGGGACCACGAAAAACCGCCTGCACCTGTCGCTTCACTGGTGGGAAGCAGCAGGGACCGCGACCGACCAGCGACCTGCAGCCTCGAAGGTGATCAAGTGCACAACAGAAAGCTCAAACATGCTCAAGCACTCGTTCCACTTGAGAAGACATCAGAATCATGTCATATCCCACACATTGTGTCTAAAGATATGTAAAGATCTACTGTTTATACATAATGTACTAGTTTTCAAGCGTTTTCTGTTTTCTTCAATCCGTTTGAAGATCTGTTTGGGTGGCGAGCAAATCATAGATCAGTTAAGGCCACGTCCTGAGTCCTGATGATTACATAATTCACATGGTGTTAATACTTTATATATTATTTACATGTGTATATATATACATTCATATTATCATAATAATACATATCAATATGGTTTACTTCTTACTGATCTTCTTTTCGGTTCCCGTTCGGTTCAGCCCAAAGCTTCGGCCAAGTCGTTTGCAGAAACTCTATACTACCCTGCGCAACCTCTGACCAGTGCCATGGCACGGAAGAGTCGAGGTAGTTCGGGGAGAGGAAGAGGAAGCAGTTCCAGGAGCCGTGAGGAGGATGTAGGCCTCGATTCCGTCGTTGATGCTGGTGAATCAGTACAAAGACGACACCCCGACTTTTCAATGGAATCTTGAGGAAGGAACCCATGGCTGGATGGTTATTTGGAATATCTCAAAATTGAATGCTTTTGGGGTCCGGGTTCACTATTGCTCAACAATATAAAATATATAACTATATCCTTCCAAGTCAATGACCTCGTTAAACTTGTGCATTTAGAGTGGGATGAGCACTATTACTTACTTTATTAGAACCTAGTTTTACTTGGTCCTGTTAAAGCCGAAATAGTGTTCATGATCTCTTCAGAGGTGGTTTTGAAGGGAATTGGAGGGGAACCAGGTGGTTGTCGGTGGCACTTTGGCCTTGGTTTGGTTGTCTATTGAGCAAGTCTGGATGGCAAGCGGCTAAGCCAAGAACCGCAATATGAAACCAGAACCATGGCTAGGAACCTGACATCTACCGCCGCTGTTGTGGAGCTCATTTTAAATATCTCATTTTCGCACACGACCTAGGGCTAATACTATAGGCTATAGGCTATATGCATGAGGGCCTGGTCCAGAGGCAAACGGCACTATACCAGTAAGCCCATCCAGTACTAGTACTGGTCCCAGGTTTTATAATGGCCAGCGCAGTCCGCACCATTGTGACGGCCAACAGCCTTGAGGCAACTCCCAACAGTTGGTCCAAGCGCCTCGGACCTTTGCAGCTTGTGCTGATGTCTTCATTTTCGTACTGAATTCGAATTAGGGTCCGTCGGAGAAGACGCCGCCACAACAGGCATGCGATCCATGCCGTAGATCCTGCAAGTGTCTTGTCAAGCTCACCTTCCAAGCCTTTCAAGGCCTTGTCTGTTCTTGCGATATGCAAAGACTTGAAGTCATATCGAATACTGGTCAACATCGATATTTGACAAGCAACTTGGAAGTGCACTTTGCATTCACCAAGTTTGGAGGGCTTCAGAATCTCCTCCACGTAGCCTGAAGCTTAGCTGAGCCAGCTGACCCGAAGCTCTGAAAACCGATCGATAGCTAATATCTTGTACTGTAGCATGGGGGACTGTGAATTCGGCTTTGCTTCACAGGCATGCGATTCATGCTGTACATCCTGCGTGTCAGTTGTTGGCAAACCCTGCATCTGTGAGGGTTCATCCGATCAACGCGATGTACACATTGAACTGTTCATTTCCACACGTACTTGTTTAACCACTACTTTGGACTTGCAGGTATTTATATATATATATAGATTCATGTCGTGTGGGTGTGGCTCTAGATTCCTTTAGAGGCCTAAAGAACTCAGCACTTTACACGATTTTCTGGTCATTGACATGGACATAGATCCTCTGCATTGGCTGGAAATGGTTCATCAACCACCAGAAAGTGTACCTCATACCTTTTCCATGGGGATTCCGGTGCCCCTTACCGTGCAAGCCCAGTGAATTCTTGATTTGTTGGATTTGTTGGCCTCTTGGGAATTGCCTTGAAGGTATTGCTTGGATTTACTTTGTCAACTCTATATATGATGCTCTCTATCTTGTTTCTGGGTGAAAGGTTGATAGCTGTTTAGGGGCTCCCCTGTTTATAGCCCGTCAGCCACTTTTCCTTAGAGCTCCTTCCTTTTCATTTAACAACAAAACCTTTTTTTCAACCACAAACCTCTTTTCTTTTCCCTCCCCAACCTGCTTAAAACCCACCGACATGGTTTTTTACCGCCCCAACCCAGCTTTAAAACCCTTTCCGAAAAGCCGTGGATTGAACTCCCTGGAACCTCTTCCTTTGCCCCTCGAGGCGACCCGGCCGTCTTCCACGGAATGCTTGACGCCATAGCCTTCCATCTCACACAACAAAACTGAAACGGCGCACCCCCGCTTTATCACCTTGAAACTTGATCATGTTCCGAGTCTTGTGGGAAAGCCAATGATTTGGTGATTTGGGTGAAACATGTTGCACTAAGAAAAACATATGTGTGTGTGTGTGTGTGTGTTAAAAATGGTTGGGTATAAGACAGAGATTGGAATTAAACACAAGAGTTGGGAGGTGAAAAACACTGTTGAGGTTAGAAAATCGTTTTGGTGGTTAGAGTCCAGGGTCCCCAATTTTTGGTACAACTAAAATCCGTGCAAAGTAAAATAATGATGGCGTTGGACATGTCCTGTTGGGCCGCCCTCCCTCCCGCTGCCCTATTTGGCCACGGAGTTTCTTTCGCAAAACAGGGATGCCCTGGAGTTGCACGCATGCATTGTCAGGTAATTTCATCACATGCAAAATCGTAACAAAGTAGATGCAATATGTTCAGCCCCAAAAGCCAATGTTTTACCCTTAAAACACTGATGCCCCACAAGTTACTCTATGTTAAAACACTATATCAGCGGTACTTTGTCCTTTCACCCGCCAGCAAAGAGGTCCTTTTCTTCGTCCGCTCGTCAAAACGAGGTTGCTAGGCATCCTCTTCGTTTTCGATGTTGCAGGAGGACAGGAATTGAGAAGTACGGTCAAGATGAGGCGGATGAGTTCTTGGCCTTAGATTCAGGAGAGGAAGGCGGTGAGGATGAGATGGAGGATGAGGACATGGGGCCTGGGAAAGTGGGAGGCCCGGCAGAGGCTCTCCAGGGACCCTGAAAATGTCATATCTCGCTGGGTTGATTTCAATAGGTCCATAATGGTCCATAGGTCTTCGTTTGGGCCACCTGGCAGGACGTCTTTGCCTTGAAGTCTTTGAATGAAGAAGACTTTTCCAAGAAGTCCAAGAAGAAGCCCAGAGAGTCCAAGGCGCAATCAGAGGAGGACTCTGAGATCGACTTGGATCCGGTTAGTAAAGGTTGGGGTAACCTGGATTCACTTGGCGGTGGCTTGTGGAGGATTATACAGCTAGTCATCATTTGGGCCTCATGACAACAAGCACCTTCTACAACCAGACTATGGAACAAAACATGCAAAAACCACGACAAGACCGGAGAACAGGCACAAGAGAACAGACCAGAGAAGACGTCTTCCGTATGTGGGTCTGTAAGCTTCGAGATGGGAAGCGAGTCGAGATGTAATGAATGACCCCTACGGATCCCTACAAAACGTGAAAACCCTGCGAAAACCCCTTGGTCAAGCTCCCCACAGACGGGTCGGAGCGCTCCGGTCACGGACGTCGGAACCAACGGTGGTCTGGGCGGGCCAAAGCCAGTCTAGGTCCGAACAACCGGCCAACTGAAGATCTCCCAACAGTGTCGATGTTTTAAGCTATACAAGAATGGGCTATATACCAGGGGCCCTCAAAACCATGAAAAAGAGAGGTTTTCACATACCAAACCCAGTTTTTGTTCTAGGGAAAACCAGGTTTTTGATGGTTTGTGCGGCCCCTGGTAGATAGTAACCTGGAATGAGGGTGGCTGGATCCATTCCAGAATCTCTGTTGGGGGCGAAGTGTCCCTCATTCCAAGGACTCTTCGCAGCAGTCTGTAGTCTGTAGCAATATATATATATAATTTATATAGAGATCGTTCTGTAGCAATACTGTACTGCTATATATATATATACATAGATATGATGATTGCACCACTGCTTGCATACTGAGACAAGACGTCTCGTTGGAGGGGTCCTTCTGGCCCGAGCTGCCCCGCTTTTGGGGGATTCTTTGCTGAGCTTCGCACGGACTCAGCTTGTTGGGCCCAGCTTTTTGTGTGGCTTTCTCTTCTCATGTGTCCCATGATCTACCCATTTAGCTGGACCAGAATGTGCTAAGAAAGGGACGACTCAGGTAAGCACGACTTCTACGGTGGCGAGGATGCCGGTGACGACTCCTCTGGCGCCAGCGATGAAGATCGAACACTGAAGGAGGCCAAAAAGCTTGAGGAGCGCGGGCCGTGCGGAGGTGGAGAGAAGACGATGAGAGATGTCTTACGTAACGGTTTGTTGGAAGAGAAAGAGACACTTCGACAACGGTCACGATGCATTCTCTTCTTTTTCACGATTGCCAGAGACATCAGACCATGGCATCAGAGAGAGAGAGAGAGAGAGCTGAAAATAGTGGGCATGGATATGCCCCATAAAGCTAGACTCAGATGCGAGTGCGCTATTTCGAGGTGTTGAAGGTCAAAATGAAGAGGGAGAAGCCATGATATCACACTGTGAGCTCCTCTCAAATTAACATGAATGGAACCGGGATGAATCGGGTATTCCCCCTTTCACTAGTTGCTGCAAGCCCGATGTCCGACCCTTTCACTAGATGTCGGCTACAAGAGTGAACAAGTGGCTTCAACCCTCAGACCCACAAGGTTTTTTTACCTTCAAGGTTCCCAAAAACATAAAGAAAAAGCAGACTCCTCTTCAAAACAGACCAGCAAACAACCACCACCAACAACAGCAACAATGACAGACCTTGTTCTTGTCCTTTTTCCTTTCCAATTTGTTAAAAGCATTCAACTCCCGTCCTCGTTACGAGCCCCCCGTGTCCGAAGCGACGCTTCCCCGGCGTTCGCTTCCCCTTCGGCTTCGCGGTGCTGCTCGCTCGCGCTCTCCGCCGCGACCGATGAGGAGCTTCGAGCAATGAGGCTGAAGGACGACACGGATCCGCTGCTGGCTTTGCTGGGCCCCGAAGGGGACCGAGAAAAAAGCCGCTGGTCAAACTCTTCTCCCCAAAGGGAAGCACTTCTGATGTTCTTTTGTTCGGTTCCCGGTGGGGGATGGAGATCCACGGTCGGCTTTTCTTGTCCTCGGGTTGACTTCCACTGAGCCACTTCCAGGGCCAAACGCGGGTGGTGAAGGACCGCCGAATCCGGAGGGACGGCTCTTCAGGTAATTGGAGAGTAGATGAGCGGAGCACGTAGATCTTCACACGGACCTAAGAGTGGGCCTTGCAAGCGACTTGATAGACTTGAGTACCGGAGATTTGTGCTAAGAGGACTGGGAAAGGATCAATTCTTGCAGCTGTGATTGAAACTTCAACCCAGGATCCTTCTCCGAGAATAAAGCAGCAACTCTTCCACAGCAACTCTTCTTTCTACTCCTTAACGACGGGGCCTTTCGTTCAACGACGCAGCCCGCTGCCCTCCTCAGGCAGCACCGGTGCCGCTGCGGCACCAGCGGAGGCCGCGGAGGAGGTGGCTTCCGCGCGCTTCGAATCGATCTTCACCGAGGACAGGAGGTTTCAATGGAAGTGGTGCTTCATCAGGGCCTGGAGGTGATTGGAGTGCTACTGGTAGTAATTCCCAATGAAAAAACAAGTGATAAGGTGATTGGAGCTGAGTCCGGTCACAGTCACATTCTCCGTGTTGAAGCGTACTTGTGGGGGAAGACAACCTTGTTTTTTTTCCACTGTTTTTCTTTGTTTGGTTTTGCAGGTATGGCATGTCCAAAAAAGTTTGGAAAGCAGCTGCCCTTAATTGAATCCCTTCAACTTTCAACTCTGTGTGTGTGAGATGCTTTAGGTCTATGTGATTGTATGTGCACATAGTGTTCCACACATTGGACATGTCAATGTGTATACTTCTATATACTCCTCAAGAGGGTTACATTGCTATAGGCCCTACGAGGTCTCAATTGGTGACCTGTCTGAAGGTATAACTACATGTAATTCTCACATCCTGTCACCTTTGTCAACATGGACCAAGCGGAGGACGCTGAGAAGAGCAAGGTGCAACGAGATTTGTCGCAGCTTTCAGACGCCAAGCGGAGCCCCGACACGCTAGGTGGCTGGGGGTGATGGAAACTCAGGGAGAGGTCTTTCCCTGCAGGCGTTGTGGCCGTCGAAAAACGGTTGCGTTTCTGTGAACCTCTTGCGTTCCTTTGATATACGGTATATAATATATATACGGTATAACTAATGGGACTGGGATGCCGTTGTTGCACATTCTTTTGGAAACACTCACAGATACTCAGCCGGTCTGAAGTGGGGGCGCCCCATGTCAAGCCGATGGCCATGGTACTGGCGCACGTTCTCGTTGTACTGCCGATCCCCACAGACCAACAGGAACCCCAAAAGAGCACCAAAGCTGGTGGTTTGTCAAGGAAGATAGGTTCAGGTAGTCTTCATGGGATCCATTTTGAGAGTCCGTTTTTGTTTCGGCGAATGTGTCTCACACGAAAACGTTTTGACCAAGCGTCGTCAGGAAGAGCTTGCTCAAGAAGGAGGCTCCGGAGCTTCTCCCGTTGCTGCAAGACTTCCAAACCAAACTCGAAGCTCTGGAGCCGCTGGTGCCCTTACTGAAGCAGGGCTCCATGTTCTCACCCTCGGGCGCTTCCTACGTGGATGCCAGGAGCAGCGCGACGAGGGCGGCCTGACCTGATTTCGCTCTCCAGCGGGAGGTTGGTATGGATTTGGGTTAACAACCCCAACAGGGGTAACAGTTCAAACATCGCAGTCAGTCGCCAGTGATCACCAGTGTAGTCTCATTTGTATGGATCATGTACTTGAACTCTTGACTGCAGTGCTGAACGTCTCTATGCTCGTCAACTAAACAGCTTGCCCAGTTGTCAAAAAAACCCTTACCATGAAGAATGCTAATTTTGTATGTGCGTGGTTCATAGCCGTGTATGCGAACAAAGGGTTTTCTCAACGTTGACTCGGTGTTCCCCACGTAGCGAGTCTGTTGAACGACACTCAAGGTCAGCGCCCCTTCCAGGATCAGCCTGCTGTTGAATCATCTGGCGAATTTGTCCTTCTATTTGATGATGAAGGCTGAAGGAAGCTGGCATGAAATCAGGGTTCTGAAGTTTCATACCGTGTCCCTTTATGTATGAAAGAAAGAATAGCGAAACCTCCAAGATATGGCGAAGTTTGCTGGGTGACGTGGAAGCACGTGTGGATGGATATGGAAACCAGACGAAGCCATTCGTAGTACCTTCAGTATCGGGAAAACGAATACCGACTGGCTGAGGGTCATTCCGTTTGAAGACCCACATGTGGCTGATATTGCAATGCATGTTGATGTTTGCATCACTGATAGCTGAAGAGTGCTTTCTCGCTTTTGGACGAACTTCTCCCCAGTTCAACGCGTGCGCAGCGTGCATGTTCTCACCAAAATTTTGTCAGGAAGCGAGGTGCGTTCTCACCCTGTGGTCTCTCAGCTGGTTTGGCTTCGGGAGCTTGATGATCATTTGAAGCCTTTGAACCAGCGGTTGAACAAGAAGTTGCTCAAGGCGAGCGGTACGTGATTGACTCGATGGATTGGGTGACTGCCACCCCCACGATGAACACATCAGATGAAGTGGAATTTAGGCCCCTGGAAGACCAGTTGGTTCGAACAGGGGTGGACCCCACGTCCATGGAATAGGAGAGTAGGTGGCATCTTATGGTGGTGCAGGATCCTTCATTCTTTGAAGAGAGGGGCAAAGGCTCAGTCAGTTTTCAGCAGCCAGAAAGAGAGTCACCGATGACGCGTCCCATACGGACGTTCGTAATTTCAATGATTTGGGTTTGAGACATGGACATGTCATGACATGTATTATATATTTACATATAGTTATATAGTCTTTTGCAAGCCCTTAATTGCCACACAACCCCTTCAAAGAGTGAGCCACAAGCACTTAGTTTTCTACCGGTTACTATATATAAGCAACTGACAAATGTATGGTGTCAACGTGTTTAGTCATGGCATGAACTATTTGTTTGACCATAAGGAAAGCGGAAAACGATGCGGTCGTGACGTATGCCATGTCCGCTGCACATATATGTCCGCTGCAGCGGTGACACCAACAAGGATTAGTTCTCCACCCCCACCGAACCCAGTCTTCAGTTAGTAATTAATGCGTTAGACTCGCTGTTGTGAAGAATACACCTTAGATTTCCGTGTTTTCAGGGGGTGTTTAAAACATGCATATGATTGATGTGTAAGGATGTGTTTTTTTTTTTTTTTTTTCAGAAGAATTTGCAGATGATTTGCATGCAGCTGCTCAAGAATTGTTGCCCCAAACCTGAAGACCAACAGCAAGTCCGCAAGTTTTCCCACCTCTCCAAAAGTGGAGGTGCAGCAGTGATTTGTGATATGGGGTTGTCCAAAATTGATGGTTTCTCCTAAAATTCTCAAACTAAACATATCCCATCAAGGCCTTTGATCAATTTTTGTTTGTTTCTGACCACACCAACTGCCTTTTTGCACTCGGCTCAGCAGGGTGTGCATCGAAATGCGCTTCGTCCCGCTGTACCCCTGCGTTAGAACTATTTCTGCACCGATCAGATCTGAAGAGGAGATCAGACCGTCAATCGCCCAAATGGCACAGACAGTCGAGTGAAAAACGACGCTTATCTCGCGCGCCGTGCGCATGCTTTCCCGCACACGGGTGCTCAAAGTGCTCATGTTGCTGGTCGGGATGGATGGATGGATGCTCCACAAAAGCTTGCTTCTCGCCAGGCCGCTCGTCAGGCCTCACGGCCAGCTGCCAGGCCCAGGCCCGCACCCGGGCTCGAGGCCCCGCGGGCGGCCGTAACGGCGAAGACGGCGCCTGTGAAGGCGCTAAGCTTGGCTGAGCGGCTGGAGAAGCTCCGGAAGGCGTGGAAGATGGCCAAAGAGTGGAGGAAGACCAGCCAGAGTGTGCATGAAGTGAAGGCAATCCCCTCTCAGCTCTGGGTTGCAAGAGAGTGAAGAAAGGATTGAGTTGGTTCAAGAAGACTTGACAGATTGATTTCTTTAGTTGAGGGATTCACGGTTGAATGAAGCTTGGATACTTGATAGTCAATACCCGTCCTTGGATACCTGTCATGTAAATATATATATATATATTGTGTGTGTTGAGTGTTGAGACTGTTGGCCTGTGGCACGTGTTTTCAATGTTCAACTAGACTTGTGGTTTTGTATTTTCGGATGCTGAAGACACTGTTCAGCTGTAGGTGAAGAAGGAGGGCGAGGAAGGAAAAGCGGCAGCTCCAGCACCGCGCTTCACGGATCCCGGATCGCTCCTCCAGTTGCCGGGGAAGCGCCGGACGGCCACCCGAGCCGATGGTCCTGCGGATTTAGATGAAATCGATCCAACGCTCGGTGCATGGTTGCCCTCAGGCCGGTGCATGGTCCCGCCGGCCCTGTTTGGGCCTTTGTTTTGGGGCGCAAGCGCAGGGATCCCAGGGTGGGCTGTAGGACCAGTAAGGCCTTTTCCGATCGGACGCAGTTCTTGACCCGAGACGAGACGAAACGCCCGGTATACGGCTCCCTGAATCGAATCCCTGGTGGATGGAAGTTACACACTATCACAACATCATTTCACTGTAGTGCCCAGGTGTGATGAGCAGTTCAAGTACACGTCATGTCCTTCAAACCTTTTGCAGAATTTGTACAGTAGTTTTGCGTCCTGGCAATTTCTAAGAGTCAGAGTCACAAGCAATTTGTTGGGCAGTAAGAGTCAGCAAACACCGTCAGGTAGCCTTTCTCAACAGCTTTCTGAAGTTCAGCAACACCTGCGGGAGCGAAAAGCCAGGGCGGTGCCACAAGCTTCAGACAAGAACCCGGAAGCCCGCTCACGGGCGTATCGGGAGCGGATTCGATCGGAAGCAGATGCCGACTTACAGGCAAACGGACTTGCGGCTGCAGAGGGGGAGGAGCCGGAGGAAAGTGAAGATGACAATGAAATGATTCGAGAAGCCAAGGCCAAAGCTAAAGCCAAGAAGGAGAGGAAGGCGGCTGAAGCTGCAGCAAAAGTCAAGGCGAAAGTGGCAAAGCAATATCGCCCCGAGAGCAACGTGGAGGCCTGCATGCAACCTGCAATGAGTTGGGTTCAAGCATGCACTACGTCGCAGGAATCTCCCTGAGGGGTATAGAATCCGACATATGGTTGACACATGCGGTTCTCGTCGATGACGCAACATCCAAGCGTAGTCCCCACGACAGTTTGAAGGAGCAGAATTCTTTGCAGTGACAACTTACAGCGCCTTCTAATTTTAAGGCGACCGGGATCATTGAAGAGTTCATCCCAATGCCAGCCTCGTGTAATCTCGTGTACCTGTCAGTCATATTCAGCTCTCCCGCATTCCTGCCATTTTTCAAATGCTGTACTTGACCGCCAAGGGATGGGTTCAATGGATCCTTCTGTTGTAGCTCAGGAGACGAAAAAACAGCAAACTTGAAGATTCACGGGGTGAAAAGCTGTTTCCCTGGATTCCATTGGCTGGTGAAGTTCTAAGACCATTCAAGGACGGAAAGAGAAGAACATCCAGCGAAGGGGATTGGATGCCAGAGCTAAGCAATAGATTTGTGTTTCGATTGGCGTCCCTTGGACGGTGGGTGAAAGTTGTGAGACCAATTACTCGGCTTCGCAGAAATGGTGCAATTATGTGCAATCCCGACATCGGAACACCCAATGTACTACCCAGCCAGACACGACCCGTCTGGGACTGCCATAGGACTGCCGCCTCCATCATAAGCCCCCCCTGGCACCACCCCAAGGTAGGTAAATATATGCCAGTCCCATGGAGTGTCTGGGATTGATGCTTTACAAACCTCTTCGTCCGAACGAGTGGGTTGTGGCATTCATCATTCGAGTCGTCTCCGTGCACAGGGCCGTCGTGGCACCAGCAAGCAGATCTTGGAGAACCGTGGATTGGTTCGACACCGCCGCTGGGATGACCAGAGATCGTGCACGTCCTATACAAATACTACTAATTATGAGGGATAAATCCCGCTAAATCGGTATACCTTCGGAATGACCAAGTTACGAAAGCCAGCCTTCGTAGAAGGCGCCAGCTGAGTTGTGCTTGGCGAACGAAGTGAGTAGTTAGGGGGTCTCGGGGGGGTGGCCCGCAAAAGGTACACGTAAACTCGGCACATGCTGGGGGAGGAGGGTGGACGGATGGAAGGTTTTTTGAGGTTGTGTTGGAGGTAATTGTTGAGGGGTGGTGATGCAAGAAATGCAATTTGCATCATTTGCATCATCTGAATGGTACTGTAAGGTGTAGTTGGCACCTTGCCAGGTATAGATACCCAGGGTAGCTATAGTGCAGTTACCAGGTATAGTACTTCAAGTTCCCTTTCCATCAACCGCTCGATAAATAACCTTTACACACGCACAGCAATCCGCAGCTTTGAAGTCTCATGCGCGCGATACTGGGAACAGAATTGTCGCTACCCCGGGTCCGTATAAATGCTATGTTGCTATACCTCTTACACACCTATATAAGTTCAAAGCACGAATGAGACTTCAAAGCTGTGGTTTGCTGTGCATGTGTAAAGGTTATCGAGCGGTTGACGGAAAGGGAACTGGAAGTACTATACCTGGCAACTGAATTGTAGCTACCCTGGGTATCTATTCCTGGCAAGGTGCCAGCTGAGTAAGAAGGGGGGGTTCGGGGGCGCGCGCGCGCGCCTAAATCACGGGCAGCCGGGAGCCAGCAAGGCGGCCGCGCGCGGACCCAGGGTAGGGAAATTGAAGTGGGATACCTGACAACAGAATTGTAGCTACGCTGGGTCCGTATAGATGCTCTGTTGCTATACCTCTTACACACCTATATAAGTTCAATGCAAGAATGAGACTTCAAAGCTGTGGATTGCTGTGCGTGTGTAAAGGTTATCGAGCGGTTGACGAAAAGGGAACTGGAAGTACTATACCTGGTAACTGAATTGTAGTTACCCTGGGTATCTATACCTGCGCCAGCTGAGTAAGAAGGGGGGTTCGGGGGGGTGGCCTGAGAAAGCACACTCGAAAGTAAAAACGCTGGCTTTCGTTTTGCAGGTTCTCAGGTTTACAGATTTACTGTGTTTTTTGGAAGACATGTCATTGCGTACGATATCACATCAGTCGTAGCATTGGTACCGATGTCGGGACCCAGGAGGATTTCAGTTTATCGAAGCTGAAGCCGCAAGGGGCTGTGTGGGCGCCATCTTTCAAAGCTCTCTCTACCGGAAACCCATCGTTTTGGCCCAGAGGCACCAATGTCCGCAATATTGATTGACATGAAGAGAATGTACCTCTTTTCTGATAACATTGAAGCTGAGAAACCCTCCGTATGTAAAAATCACCATCAGCCGTTTGTGGTCTCTGATATGTCACACCGAGTCACACTGGGTCACGCGAGACATCCGAGACTTTCTATGAGCATATATCCTTTTTTTGACTACACCTGACCCAATGTATGCGATTTTTGCCTACATGCCGAGACCCACTGTGGGGCTTTGACCGTAGTCAATAATCGACTATATACATGGCTTCCGTCAGTCAAATGAGCAGAGGTGGCCATGTAGGCAACTGTGTCATACATGGAGTCTCAGGGTGGGGTTGAACACTATGATTTCCTGTAATTAGTAAACCCAATGTGGTGCCAAAATGTAAATGGATGATTCTTGGAGGCTAGGTGGCCCATGTCGCCCATCTCGATGGGTCTCAAAAATTGCAACAAGCCACTGCTTCGGTGAAAAAACATCTGATGAATCTGCTTTTGGTGAGCTTTGAGGAAAGCACAAGGCCGGGAATGCGCGTGTGGCCAACCGCGACAAGTACACGAAGCTGGTGAAGAGGCGCAAGGGAGCCGTGCAAGAGATGAGAGAGGCCGCTGCAGATGGGGCAACCTACGAGGGAGAAGCCACAGGCGTTCGCACCAATCTGCGAAAGTCATTGAAACTTGGCTAATCCGCCGCCTCCAATGGGATAAAAGGCCAGCTGCACTGGTTTGGTTTTCCTGGAACCTTGAACAACCTCTTCAAGCATGTGTGTTTCAAGATGCTTTAAGTTTTAGAATGAATTCCTGTTCCATGTCAAAACTTACATTTATAAATAGTTAACACTAGCCAAAAAGACAGTTCCTTTGCATCTCGCACGGCCTATTTGTTCAGAAAACATGTCTTTTGACGAGGTTCTGGCATGGGTTCCAGGTTGATTGAGTTTCACAAAGATCACAAAGAAGGTTGCGGAGAAATAAATCTGATGGCAAGGTCATTTGTACAGGAATTGTGGATTGGTGACAGCTGCCTTGACTGAACATCTGATGTGTCATCCCATACGTATCATCAAAGTGGAGTGTGGATGATCCAGTTTGATTTGCTGTTGTCCGGTGTTGCTTTCACATCAAGTACATAATTATGCAGCCATATTCTACGTGTTACTGCATGCAAGTCCTTTGTGCATGATTTGTTTGTTCAGTATGAGACACATAAAGCTTGCCATCGTTCCAGGATTGAAGCATGTGGAGACCCACACACACACACACACAATTTGAGCCGAAGTGTCCGGTGGAAAGCAGCAACTGAAACCAAATGCGTTGTTTCGATCTTTGTTATCGAACTTCCTCATCGCATTGAACCGAACCAGTTCTTTCTACAAGAATCAAGAATAGCATAAAGTCACCTCAACAACTTTCACAGCGGAGTACTTCTACTTAGCAAGGACGCTACTAGGGGCTCGTGGCCTTACTACTAGTGGCATCGCTACTAGGAGCAAGAAGCTACTAGTGGCAACAAAGGCGGGTTCCTTTCACTTTCCTGACTCGAAAGCATCGCGCAACACGTCGTAACTTCCGCCGTGACTTGACGAGTCGCTCCAGCCGTTTTTTGGCTCAAAACGAGCAGCGCAAACGTCCAGGCGTTGCATTGACCCTGATTCTTTGAGAGAAGGCGTTGGATGTTGGATGATGTGTTGGATGTTGGATAATGGGGCCCGATCCTGGAGTATTCTTGTAGAGATCTTCGGATAGTGGATAGTGGAGTATTCTTGGACCGGGTTCCTTCAAACAGATCTGGCGGATCCTTAAAATTGGCCTGTCAGTGGGTCAGCTCCAAGTTTCGTGCGGGCTGCTTTGGGTCATCCCAATCGACCAACCATTGGCCGCAAAGGGTTTGAACTGGTCAAACCATTGAACTGGCCACCTCACCTCATCGCCTCACCTGCTACGCAACTGTTCATTCAGAGACGACCACGACTCGCCTTGCTTCGGAACCGCTTTGCTTCGGCCCCGTGGCGAGTTCCGCGGGACCTGGGTCCCGCTTCCGCGGATGCCGCAGTTCCGCCCCTTGGTGCGGAAAGTGGACTTCGGGGCCTTCGGTGAAGGAAAGAGACAGTGGATGAGGTGAACGATGAGTGAACGAACGAGGTGAACCCCAGGAAAACCCTGATGTCATGAGAATCTGATGTCATGAGTCATGATGAGTCATGCATGGTGACTGAAGAGTGGTTTGATGGCCTCGCCAGAGCATCGGGGATTTGTGTCTAGAAACACTGAAGTTGTGAAACCTACACTTCTTCAGTTTCAAAAGTTTCTAATAGCTTCACAAGTTTCTGACACCAAAAGACCTGCGAAAAAAAAAACCTTTGGAGGCCAATCAATCAATCTACACTCGTCCTGACTCCTCCTTGTTTGTCTGACATGTCTCCGCACTCAGAGGAAGTCACAGCTGCTACTTGTACTACATTCGACCGGGAGCAATCCCCTTCAGTCGCCTCCAGTTCTTCTCCTGAGAGTACTTTTGGAGCAGCGTTGACTAGAGAGTTCCTGCTTTTCCCTAGGTGTATAGTGGACTTGACCTAGTTTTGACTTGGATTTGCAAAAGACAAGCAAGACACACCCGTTTTGGGGGGCCATGGGTTCGTAGAATCCAATGTGCTGGAGCTGCGGATTCGGATTCGACCTCCACTAGCGCTTGGAGCACACCATTCATGTTCATGGGGACTGAAGAGACCATCCATGCTGAGAAGCTAGTGAAAGCACTTGAGACCAAGAGAGAACAAGAGATCAAAGGATGCCGCAGGACGTGGTCGAGTGACAACGGCATATTGTGATTATATATATATATATGTATAGGGCTGGACAATCATGAAGAAGAGAATTCACAAGGTCACAAGGTTGAAATCTCAGATGCGAAATTGCTTTTGCTTCTGCGATGGATCGTGTGGAACACAGGCGATCCGGCTGGTGGATGCAGGCGCGCGCGGACTCACCGCGCGCGCTTCGGGTCGAAGTGGGTCCGTGACCGAGGGTGCTCTTGAGGACTCGGGGATGAAGAAGATCGAAAAGTGATCACCTTGGACCTTGTGGACCCATATATACAAGGTCTTGGAGTATAGGTGATGTGTTCGCCACTGAAAGACCTATGTACCTGAGGTACCTTCTCGGTACGGAACGGTACCTGTGTTCGACACAGCGGATCCTGGCCGATCCGGAACCGTTCACGAGACTCGGCGACCTCGGACCGTGGATGGAGGGAACGACTGGGCCGACTGGGCCGACTGGGCAAGGGTAAACCTGAGGGCACTGGTGAGCTCCTGAAATCAGTCTCAAAGTTATCCATTGTCCTGGCCTGGCCTGGTGAGAATTCTTTTTGTGCTGGCCTAGCTGGTCCAGTTTCGTGGAATGACCCGATGAACCCGGTCTCGCAGTATTTGGCAGATTGTCCAGTTGGCACTTTTGCAAAGAATGATGAGGGCTGGTAGAAGCAAAAGCAAATTGTACATCAAAAGAATCATCTTTGAGCTTCCCAGTTCTCGCTTTACCTCACCTGGTAGTCATAAGCCACCAGAAACGACCTCCAACCCTTTCGAAGGTCGGAGACAAATCCAAACAGAGGCGCAGTGGATCCTGCGTCCTCCAACTCTTCGGAATCAAAATGGGACCCTTGGAGAACAATCCGGGCTCCAACCACCTCCGTTTCGAAGATGGTTGTGGTGGGTGCCAGGGGGGGTCCAACCACCGAACCTGAGGACATGGGCCAGGAGCCCTAACGAACGTTCCTTTACAAACCGGGTGGTTTCCACTTCGTCCTGTGTTAGTTGGAGGATGTTGGAGGGTATGTCATCACTGGTCACTACAAACTGGGTGTGGAAACCTCCCTGGTCGTCGCTCGTCTGTTGATTGGAGAACCGGGTCAAGTGGTCTGGGTTCCCGCTGACCCCAACGCCACAGACGTTCGGCACCACAGTGGGCTCGAAGCCAATCGAACGGTCGCCACTGTGCCCAGGTACCTGGTACCCTGGCGACATGACAGGCATAGTTGTTTTTATTCTTTTTTTGGAGAGAGCAGTTTGGGTTCGAAGATGAAATCTCCAGGAATTCAAACCCCAATGGCAGTTTGTACATTGTCCGGGATTTTGAACTCCAGCGCAAAATGGCAGCTCCATCTCGAGATTATAGATTCCGGTCGTTTTTTCTTGCAAAGCGTTGTAAATGCCCAAGAGCAATTGCCTTTTCTATTGAACCAATGTAAGTGCCCATTGGTCACACACACATATTTTGGTTCCAAGACATCTTCCGGTCAAGGCTTCGCCATAACTCACTCGAGTGGCGGAAGAAGAGTCGACATCTTTGGTACAACAAGTTGCGCGCAGACACATACACAGTCAATCCTTGGTAGCTGTCTAAAAGTGGGTTGATATTCCCTGCTGCCCTGCTTAATTCAACACCAAGTACCGGAAACTGCTGCGATCACGGGCGACATCTCCCAAATTGGATGGCACTGTGCCACGAATTCGTGGGTCGCACGGTCGTCTCTTTGGGTGTGGCCATGTTCCTCAGCACGTCGGTCGTGCAGCGATCATGTCTCGATGGCGTTTTTCTTGAGTCTTTGGTGTCGGAGAAGACCTCGGTCCGAACCGGTCGGACATTTGTACAAGGCTAGGGCGAGGCTATAGGGCGATGTATTGGTTTCAATCCAGGAAGGTCTCCCTTTTTCTCGCCCAAGACCTGGAGGTTATCGTCTGTTGGATACCTTCAATAGTTTGAAACAAAACTGAATTTCCAAAAATGCGTTGGGGGTGGAATCCAACATGAGAGAGCCGCGATCGAGCCGGGTGTTTAGCCTAACGAGCCGAACGGAGCTTGGAAGTCAAGAACGAATGGCCCCGTCAGGAGGGTCCCGCGGTCGCGACTTCGATGACGCGAAGGACAGGGTTCAGAGGGAGAGAGAAGAACTGCTAGTTCCTTCATGTTCCTTTCGCCTATAATAAGAACGGCCCTGCTTTGATGGTCAGATTCTATACTTCAATCATGTATGTTCATTCATTTTCATTGGCAAATGGACAAGATTGTGTTTGATGCGACACGAGACAGCAAAAAGAAAAGACCCATGCAGCCATGTTTTCCTAGAATTTTCTGGTCCTCATCACTTTTGGCAATTTGGCAGTTGAGGCACCTGATTCTGGCAGGCTCCTCTAAATCAACCAGCAAAGCGGAAAGCGCTTCAAATTGGATCTTTTCTTGATGTGTTGCCAACCACCGACCCATTCGTCGCAACCATCCACCTATGGTCGCTCTCCGCTGTTGAAGGGGGTAAACGGCATTACATCACAGGGATCAATGTTCTGTTCCTGACAATGCTTCTTGCCATGGAAGTTGTGTTCGTTGTCGTTCAAGGCAGGGTTGTTTTCGCATGTTTTCGCGTCGTAGTGGCTTCTCAGGAGAGTGGCTCAAGATCAAGTGCCACGTGCCTGGATCCCAGTGCAAGCTTCTTTAGTTGATGTCCAGAGTCATGACTTTACATGTTGGCTCAATGATCATACCCTACAAGTCCAAAGACCCAGTAACACCCGGTCTTGTTTGTACCTCCTTAAGTAGTGGTTTTGTATGACCATCTCCAGTAAAATGAGGTCTTTGACTTGTAGGGATAGCCACAGCCCGAGGTTTTGATGTAATATGTCAAACAACATGTTCATGTCATAGTATTTCCATTGACCCAAAGCCATGCGTGAGAGGACTTCCAGTAGCAGTAGTAGCAGCAGCAGCAGCAGTAGTAGTAGTGGTAGTAGTGGTAATGGTAGTGGTAGTGGTAGTGGTAGTGGTAGTGGTAGTGGTAGTGGTA